CTAAAGGAACTCGGAGGATGTTGCTTGTGTACGTCTATATCATTCAGTTTATGCAGCCGATAAGTCCTCCCCTTTTTAACGTGTGACTCTCTTTTTGAACCCCCTAACTGCAGACATCTTTTCTAGGAATGTTAAGAGCCGTATTTGGACTTCATATTTGTATTGGTCTGGCTGGCCTGGAGAAAAGGCAGGATATAAATCTAAATTAAAATAAATGCATAAATAATCTAAATTAAAATATGATTATAATGTGTTTTATATATATATACAGAGTGTGTGTGTATGTATGTGTGTGTGTGTGTGTATACACACATATATATATTTCTCATCTAGTTTTAGAAACTTTGTCAAGCTCCTCCTTTGGAAGCACCATACAGGTACGCACAACAGAGGAAATAGATCTTTGAGTTCAACTTGTAAAAGGTCATCATTTTGTTGCTGATAGAACGGAAGAGATCAAAGTCATGGAAAAGCTAAGATTGTAACTCAGAACTGGCTGTGGGGGCTTCCCCAGCCTTGCTTTAAAGGGCCAAAATAGCACATGAGATGTCTGTTGACGGCTAATGATGGCTATTGACACCACACTTTGTTTTTTTTCTTTTCGGCAGGAGTGGGAGCGTCAGCGGATTGACCCTCAAGTTGATCCGAACGTCTGTCATTGAAATGTTAGAAACTTTGTCTGACGATGACTTCGTGAATGTGGTTTCCGTGAGTACCGTTCTCTTTTTGTAACTCAGAAGTGGGGGTCCAAAGAAGATTCTGCAACGATTACCCCACACTAAACCACACGGAGAACTTACATTGTTAGTAATCTTTTTGATCACATCTTGGCTTATATGGCTGAAATGCATCAGAGATGGTTTGGATTCAAAACCTAGGAGCTCCTGGAGAGTAAATAGAAGACAAGGCAGCCGCCCGTGGGTTTAGTGCACACCCAAATGCATCTTGATGTTATACAAATGTCCTGCTCTGTTTTTCTTTGTTTTTCCTCCCTTTCTTTTTTTTTCCCCAGATTACTTTGATTACTTCAAAGCCACGTCTCTGGCCTCTTTCTCAAATGGGTTTGCGTGGGAAAGAACTTGGCACTGAATAAAATTTATGACTTCTGCGGTCCTAATGGAATGTGTTAATCACTTTGTGTGTGTGTGTGCGCGCGTGTGTGTATTCATTCTGTACTGAAGATACTTGTGTTTAGTCGGGCCCCCCCCCCCCCCTTCTTCAGAGCTGTTAGGAATGATGCTTCTTTGAAACTCTACTTATCCATGGAAGCTAGTAGGGCTGCTTTGTCTCAAACAGACCATATTCAATAGATAGGAAATGAACAATCCATGGCTCTCTTTGCTGTGCTTTTCCATACTGCCATCTCCATAAATAGCTAGAGAGAAGAACATGATGACAGTTGAACAGGACATATAGCTCTGAACTGGCATAGCCTAATTATTATTATGGTTGGTCACACAATCAGCCAGATGTTTAGACTGGATTTGGCATTCTTGTCCACCTATCGAGTCCTTCCCAAGGACCTGGGAAAGGCAGATGTTGTTGCTTAATAATATTAAAGGTTTCATTGCAGGATATAAGCTGTTCCGAGTAAAGCTGCCTTTTGCAATTGACTGAA